CTCAGGTGCCTGTGCAGGTTGTTTGTGGAGCCGGCTCTATATGATATTCTTTTCTTGTAGACTCTACACTCTGCCTTTGTACTGCCAATAACATTGAAATGGTTCCAGATTTTGCTTCTTTTCTTGGTGTTACTCATTTTCTTTGCTATACCTTTCTAATGTGACAATGTTGTCTCTTGTTGTTGCCCCTGGCTCTCTTTCTCGCTCCCTCCTGCTCTGTTCCTGTGCTACTGATGGTACCTGAGAGATGCGTCCAGCACTTCAGTTGACCCAGTCTCCATTTCAGCCAGTGGTGTTGCAGTTCACGACGTGTTGAATAATACAGTTGGGCATACCAAATATTAGCTTTGAAACGTGTTAGAATTGTACAAACTCTGTTTTTCTCTTAGTTACTTACTATATTTCCATGTACGCACATTTCAACGAATTGCTGCATCTATTTCCCATTTCCCTAGGGAAATATCACGAAATGAGGGGTGGTTCAAAACTTGCAAAGCAATGTACCGTACTGTGCAAAACTGAAAATAATATTCTCACTAAATTTGCTTTGTGATGTAAACCCGTTTTTCTTCTGTGGTTTCTGGCTGAAAATATGCAGGTTAATCCGTTCGTTTAGTCTCTTCACATGGTACATGCAGCTCAGACACACACATCCCAACTGCAGGTTATCAGCTCGTACTGCGTCCGAGAACTAAACTGCTGCATCTTTGAAGAACTGCAAAGAACTGATGGCGCTTTCACTGTCGATCGGAAATAGCGCTTATGGGTCAATGCCACCCCACTAATTGTAAGTCAACATGGCTTAGGATGATGATTGCATTACACCCCCTGCTATTTTACCTTTAAACAGGATTAACAGTGTATGTCGCAGAATAACTGCTGTTTTCATGGGGTGTAGTTTACTTTGTTGTTTTAATTCACAATTGTAACTCACTAACAACAATCAAAACAGACGTAGCAGAATAGCTCAAAGTGAAAAAAAATTGCTTATATATAAGTCCGTCTCTCGAGTATTCAACAACAAACAAGACAGGGGTGCCTCCAGAATATTTTCACTGTAGTGGTTATGTGGAGGTGACTAAAAGTATTGCGGTGGCACACCAAGCACAGAATTTCCAGTTTTATTATGCTGTTGTCAAATATCCGTTACTTGAAAAATATGGCAAACAAGAATGAAAGAAAATAATTATATGCCTAGTTAATTTCGTAATATTAAAGTTAAAGTTGACATCACTGAAAATAATTATAATTATTAAAAGTATTACCAACATAGGACAGTCTTGGCAGACAA